GAGCAGCGCACCTGCGACAGGTGTACAGAAGCATGGATGACTACCTTCCAGGTGATGGTTCTACAGAGGGGAAGCAGGCGAGGATCCTGGTGGGCCACCAGGAGCACGTGGGCCCCACCACCTTCCCCACCTGAAAAAGGGCTGTAGCTGTCTGTGCCCATCACCCCAGGTGCTTGGGAGGACGGAGCGCCAACTCAAGAGGCTGGAAGAGGCAGCCCCCCATGCCACAGAGGGCTCGCTGCAGGCAGAGCCTGTGGAGGAGGGAGCAGCAGGACTAGGAAGTTCTCCAACAAGGCAGCACATCGCTGCCACCTCCGTAGGCCTCACTATCCATTTCACAGACCAGGAAGCCAAGGCCCTGCCCATTACAGGATTTGCTCAGTCCCAGGCCGAACATGAGGGAGCCAGAGCGTGCGTGGAGCCAGAGCCATCTGATGACAAGCCTGCCTTCTGCTCCACCTCGAACTCCCTGGGTGAAAACCTGGCCTCGCTGTGCATGAAGGGCACTCACTCAGCAAGTAGCTCTTTCCGTCCGGGGCTTTCCGGGGCAGGAAGTAGGAGAGGAGGTTCTCGAAGTAGCAGGGCAGCCGCACACTGGTCATGGGCACCCCGATGTCCCGGAAGTATTCCTCCACCTCCCCTTTGCCGTCAAAGTGGCCCACCACCAGCTTTCCTGCCGTCAGCTTCCTGACGTTCTCCAGGCCACTGTAGACCACGTAGTGGAGGCCCAGGCGCTTGGCCAGATCGGCCAGCAGCTTTCCCTGGGGAGCAGGAAAGGAGAGACCACGAAGATGAGAGGGAAGACACATGGCTCCAGTCACGCCCGACATGCTAAACCCAGAGCTGCCACCTCCACCAGGCCAAGAGCCTGATCCTGCAACCCCTGGGGAGGCGCCCTCCTCAGAATGACGCTCTTCAGCAGAACCCGCCCGGGCTGTCACTTCCCCAGACCACCCGGGTCATTCCCCCTGCAGCCCAGTGTGTGACACGAGCGAGCGCACATGAGACCAGCACGTCTCAGGACAAGGCCTTTACCACACCGACTTCATCACTGGGAAGCATGTCACGACACAGCCTGCTGTTAAAGGCTGCCGACGGGTCAGGCGGGGCCAAGATGTGTCACACCCTCACTCCAGGACCCAGCAACCTCATCTGGAATGTGTCTGCAGATGCCAGTACGTTGAGGCTCTTGAGATGGGATTGTTCGAATAACCAGGTGGGCCCCAAATCTAATGACAGTCGTCCTTGTGAGAGACAGAAGAGACACATGGAGAAGATGGCAGGGACGGGAGCAACGCAGCCACAAGCCAAGAGCTGCCTACAGCAACCAGAAGCTGGAATGGGGGAGGCGGGTGCCGCCCCTGGAGCCCAGCTTCCAGTATGTAAGAGAGCCCATGTCTGTGGTCTTAGGCCACCTGGAGTACACTCATTTGTTACAACAGCCCCAGGACACAGGCGGGGTATCAGATTAGTGACACAGGTCTGCTTATGCTGGGGAGCTGTCTTGGCCACTCTGGGTAAAGAGCTTCCAGGTAAGACTGTCATTGGAGAAGCACGAGGCTAAAACAAGTCCGCAGACCAGTGGTCCAGTCCAGTCTGCCTTAATTTTTTGTTTTTAAAGAATTATTATTTATCATTATTATTGCTTTTTAATTTGCTATAGGGGACTTGCACTCACCAAAGAGAGACAGAGAAGTAAGAAAGCAAACCGCCAGGTCCAGGACTCGAACCACAGTTGGCCATGTGGGAGTCCAGCACCTTAACCACCACACCACCTGCTGGCTCCCTGCCTTAATGTTAAGAGGAAAACAAGGACCAGAGCAGAAAAGTCCCCAGCACTGCAGAACAGGCAGGACTGGGGCCCAAGGAGCACTATTCTCAAGTCACTGCTGCTCCTCAGGCATGATGACCTGGGCACCTTCACATGATGGCATGGCTCAGTGGGACGGAGAGCAGGACCTGCCCCCTCCAACTCTCCATCTCATGCCCCACCCCCAGTCCCACCCGCTGGGCTCAGTAACTACTTAACTAAAGAGACTCTGGAGGGGGGACCAGCAGGTGCCGGGGTGGCTAAGGTGCTGGACACTCCCACATGGCCGACCACGGTTTGAGTCCTGGACCTGGCGGCTTGCTTTCTCAGTTTCTCTCTCTCTCTATCTCTCTCTGTGTCTTTCTCTGCTCAAATTAAGAATAAATGAATAAATAAATTAAATTAAATTTAAAAAGTAATTCTTTAAAAAAAAAAAAAGAGACTCAAGGAAAGCAGAACGCAGGAAGACACAGATCATGTGATTTCTCTTCTTTCTTTCAGGTTTTCTTTCTTCCACAGACAAGAGAGACAAAAACACCACCCCAAACAGGGTCTCGAGCCGCGAT